ACAGCTTGCTCTGGGTAGGGGGGAGTCAGAGCCCTGGGCCCTGGCATAGTAATGCTATTGAAACTAATACCCACAGTGATCTGAGTGCTAGCACATGCCAGGCATCATGGCAAGCACTCCCATACCACATTTCACTTCTCCTAAAGATGACCCTACACAGTGGGATTTAATATTATGATTCCTATTTTACAGGTGGGTAAATTGAGGCAAGGCCTGCCTCACACTACATGAGGAACCAGAAATTGAAAACCATATCACCTGATTCCAAAGCCATGCTTTTAGCTATTCTGTTCTTCTGTCTCCTGTCACGACCCTTCAAGCTAAATGTGTTTTGTTCATTTTACAGATGGAAAAACTGATTTCCAGACAAGGGCACTACTACCTCATAGTTGTCATTCATTCAGTCTGTCATTCATTCTGGAACGTGTTTGCTGGGCACCTCATGGTTTAGGTAGCTGAGCACCAGATGGAGGTGGAGAGAGATGGGCAGAGACACATTCTGGCCCTGGGGATACTCACATACTCACGGGCAGAGAGAGGCACACGGGCACTGGCCTGCTATGGTGACATGGGCTGTAACAGGGAGTCCTGCAGGGAGAAGGGCTTTCTGGAGGAGATGAGGTTTTTCTGATGCTTCAAGGAAAGGTGGAGAGGGTCAAGTGGAGAAGGGGAAGGGTGACCTGACAGAGGTTACAGTGTGTGCAGAGGCAAAGAGGTGGGATCCATGTTCTAGAGTCTTTAGCAGCTGGATAGGGTCTCACTGTGGGACAGGGTTGGAAGCAGATTGGTAACCACGGCTGGATCTGCGGCCAGGGTTGATTTGTGACTCAATAGTGAGTACTGTTCAGTGAATGGACATGAAGAAGCGGCACTGAGGGCCCCTGGTAAGGAATTTGGACTTTGTCCTGAGGGTGTTGGAGAAACATTGAAAAATACTTTGCCTTTGAGTAGTCAGTCCCCAGGCCCTTGTCTACACGATGAAATCCCAATACACTAAAACCCTATTGCTCTAGGCATCCAGGGTTTCACAGGCCCTCAGTCTGTGCAGAAGCTGGGGCACAGACTCTGGTTTTCAGCCACCTTCGCCAGCATTCTTTCCCCTGAAACAAGATCAGAGGCAAAATTAGCAAGGGTTTGAGCCTGGAGCTCCAGGCTCCTGTCACCCATCCTACCTCTTTTGTAATAAAAGTGGCCCAGGAGTGCAGTTGGACTGAAGTCTGCTGGCTGTATAAGAAGCAGGGTAGTGAGAGAAGAAGCTCAGGAGGCATCAGAAAAGCCAGTGTGGGTCTCTCTTCTCTCCGGGCCTCAGTTTCCCCACCTGTAATGTGAAGATGGGGATGGCTCAGGAGTTCTAGTTCAAACTTCAGTGGCTCTCAGCCTGTCTCTGTGGGCAAAAAGAAAATGATAGACTGAGCAGAAGGGAGCTGGCACCTTTCTGGAAGCCCTGGGAAACACAGAGACCTGACTGTGCCCCCTCAGTCCCTGTCTCTCCCCGTTTTCACTCCACGCTACGGGCACGTAGGTGGGTCTGTTTCTCCATCTCTCCCCCTCCCTTTCCCTCTTCCTCCACGTCAGGGGCCGCCACGCTCTTCCCCTCACAGGGAGCCCCCCCAGGCCCTGCCTGGTCCCCTAACAGCTTTCAGATGTGCCTCTGGAACAGTTCTACAATTACAGCTGAGACAGGCAGAAAGCGTATGGCCTTGTGACTTCTGACCCAGGCCTGTGAGGTTGACATTTCCTCTTTCCCCACCCCTCCGCCCCCACCGGCAGGGTGGCCCCAGGCCTCCTCCATCCCCAGGCCTCCGCTGACACATTCGCTTACTCTAATATCACACGTAGAAGCCGCCTTTTAGGGAGCAAAGACCGAACCAGGCCTGTCACGGTCATTATATCACTGAACCCTGATCCTCGAGGTGTGAGATGTGGATAATTTCACCCTATTTGACAGGTGCAGAGACTGAGGCTCAGAGCAGGTAAAGTGACTTGGTAAAGAATGCTCAGCCCGGCCGGCGTGGCTCAGCGGTTGAGCGTCAAGCTAGGATCCAGGCGATCAGGGTTCGATTCCCGGTCAGGGCACATGTCCGGGTGCAGTCTCGATCCCTAGCCAGGGGTGTGCAGGAGGCGGCCGGTCAGTGACTCTCATCATTGATGCTTCAACTCTCCCTCTCCCTTCCTCTCTCTGAAATCAATAAAGATATATATATATATATATTAAGACTGCTCAGCCAGCAATTGGAGAAAGCAAGGATTCTACCCAGGTTTTGTAACTCGAAAACCTGAGACTGCTTTTTGCCAGAATACCGGTATTCATGCCCCTTGGCTAAGCAGAGAGGTGGCCCTGGGCCCTCGCGGTGGAGGAATGTGTTGCGGAGGCTCCGTGGAAACCTGTGTAGCCGATGGGCAAGCAGTGTTAGAAAAGGCCACCCCCTCTTGGTTCCGGGCTCCTTCACACGTTCCATTCACTGCAGCCTTTCACGTTTCCCTCTGAAACGCATCCCCTTCTCTTCCACTCGAAGAAAGTATTTTACTGTTGCACAAATAAGTGCTCTTCCATGGTCTTTATAAAAACCTGCAGCTTACAAGCCACTTCTCACGTGTCACCCCACCTAGTCCTTGAGAGAGCCACGCGCCGTTCCCATCCGTTGATGCGGAAACTGAAACTGAGGAATGAGACGCGATGCGCTCGAGTTCATTGGTTTACTCAAGCACTTGCTGAGCGCCTGCCGCATCCACAGTGCTGGGTCCCACGCCAGGGAACAGCAGCCCCCCAGCTGAGTGTGGGAGCTGCAGGCTGGGCTTGGAACCTGCCTCTGCCACTGTCTTGATGGGCTGTTGTTTGGGCAGTAGGCACTCACCCCGTGCTGGCCTGACCTCCCCACTTTGCTAGATGTTTATTCTCACATCCTGANTCCTGCCTCTGCCACTGGGCTGTTGTTTGGGCAGTAGGCACTCACCCCGTGCTGGCCTGACCTCCCCACTTTGCTAGATGTTTATTCTCACATCCTGAACTTTCTTTGTGATCTCCTTTCAATCCCTCTGCAAGACTCGCCGATCTTAACTCACCTTGTGCAGCACTTGCCTTTCATATCCGCACACACTGAGCAGGTGGTGGGCAGGGGCCTGCCTGTCACAGATGCCTGATGCTGGAGATGCTCCCACTTGTCAGTTACTGAGTAGCCATCGGGGTTATCAGATCTACTGTTGTGGTATCTTAGTGCTTGTGCTCAAGTCACCCTCATTTTACTTCATGATGGCCCCAAAGCACACGAGTAGTGACGCTGGCCATTCGGATATGGCAAGGAGGAGCCAAGACGTGCTTCCTTTAATTGAAAAGGCAAAAGTTCTCAACTTCATAAGGAAAGAAAAAAATTGTATGCTGAGGTTGCTAAGAACAAGTTTATTATCCATAAAATTGCCTAAAAGATCTAATTGTAGGAATGTGTGTGTAGGAAAAACATTGTACCTGTAGAATTGGGTACTAGCTACAGTTTTAGGCATCCACTGAGGGTCACAGACACATCCCCGCAGATAGGGGGGCTATTGTACAAGGTGGTTAAGAATATAATCTTTGGATTCAGGCAGGCCTAAGTTCTGGTCCAGTTTCTACTTAATATGTAATAATAGCTCAATTACTTGGCATCTTTGAAACCAATGTTTGAAACCAATGAGGTATTGGGGAAAGAGGAAAGGAAAGAGGGCCCCTGGGACCACAGTTTCTTCTACTTGGCCCAGGGAACCCTCTTCCCATGCCACACTGCTGCCGCTGACCTTGAAGACATGAAAGAGGACAGCATGGCAGAGACAAGACATGCAGATGCTCAACCCTTCTGTTCAGGTTGCTCCTGGCTTTCAAGGCTCGCCTCCTCTTGCAAGTCTTCTCTACTCCTTACACTTTGTTTACACCACAGAACTTTGCTATCTGGAGGTGTGAAGAGTCAGAGAGCCTTAGCCTTCTCAAGGTAGGTCAGAGGATAGGGACTGTCCTAGAAAGAAATCTGTGCCCTGGATTGGACCCTAATCCACCAGGTCTGTGGTTCTCCTGCTCTTCCCTTTTAATGCCCTCTGTCTGCTGTCTGCTTCCTCCAGTCCAGCATGGAGCCTCAAGGGACATCATGGGAAGGCGGGGGCATGCCTTGGACCTAGAATAACTGAGATGCCCACTGATCTTCCACCTCATGTCATTTTGCTATGGCCACACCAGCTGCCGATTCCTCCAACAGCCTGGGACCCTTCTCTCCTTACTCAGGACCTTTGCACTTACTGCTGTCCCTGCCTGGAAGGCTCACCCCCAGGGGATTCCTCCCAGAAGCCAGCTCCTTCTCTCATTCCCTCCTCAGCTCACACGTTCTCTCCACTGGGAGGCCTTCGTGGACAACCCTGTCCAAGCCACCCACAGCCCCCTCCGCATGAGTCTTTTTCACCTCATATTAGTATACTTTTTCTCACACTTACCATTAAATAATATTAAGTTTACTTTTGATTAGCTTTCTGCAAGCAGGGACCTTGAATCTCGCTCATCTTTACCACCTGAGCACCTGAAATAATTCCTGGTACATACTTAATGCCCACTAAGTATTTGTTAAATAAATGAATGAAGTAATATATGTGGGTATACCCAGCTATCCAGGACAGCACTGGGGTTCACTGCTCAAGCACTGAACTCAGATTGCTCTTTTCCTCAGTCACTATGAGTCCGTGGAAGGATATGCAGTGTCTCAGTTTCCTCACTGGTGAAATGTAAGTGATAAAAATCCCTGCCTTCTAGGCTTGCTTACTTGTAAATTAAGAGATTAAGTGCAAAGTGCCCAGGAGGCAGTTGGTGCTCAGTAAATGCTTTATAATTATAATTAATTATTATTATTATTATTTTGCAAATCCTTTCTACTGCAGCCTGAGCTTTCTCAACCACACCTGCTATGGTTTCTGTTCCTCCTCGCATTGCTTGTCCAGGGCTTCTCTGAAGCCACAGCCCAGTACTTTGTTTTCTTGCTGTGCGATAGGTTCACTCTGTATGCTGTGGACACACGAGGGCGGCACTCGGAGCTTAGCACGGTGACCCTAAGGACAGCTTGTCCACTGGTGGATGACAACAAGGCAGAAGGTAGGTGACCTATTTCTTCACTTGCCAGGTGACTCCCATATTATCTCTAACTTTTGTACCCAGCAGTCACTAACCACCACTGCTTTCCCACCCCCACACATGTTGGCACTGGGAGAAGAAAGTGAAGGAACTGAGGGAGGAGCATGGAGCTAAGTTAGCCAAAGCCATGAAGGAAAACCCATAATGGGCAACATTATCTTTGCCAATGGACAGACTTGCTCCTCTTTGATAGAGTGTGTCTATGTGATCTGTGCCTGCACTTTTCCCCCTCAGAGATAGCTGACAAGATCTACAATCTGTACAATGGGTACACAAGTGGGAAGGAGCAGCAGACTGCCTACAACATGCTGATGGAGGTCTCGGCCTCGATGCTGTTCCGCGTCCAGCACCACTACAACTCTCACTATGAGAAGTTCGGCGACTTCGTCTGGAGGAGTGAGGATGAGCTGGGGCCCAGGTATGAGCAGATGAGTGTGAGTGGAGGGGTCAGTTATTCTTGCTTTCATTTGACTTTACTGGTCCCTTTGCCTCATAGGCTGAGAATGGGCTTGATCAAATAAATAAGGGTGGCACTCACCTCAGTCATGTCTGGGCTACGTAGAGATGGGACATGGGCAGGGAGAAAGAATCTTGGAATCTTAGCTTCCTGGACTCCTGGAATGTCAGATAATTGAGAAACATCACTGTTCTTTTGATTAATCACTCCCCTTGCCCAACTTCCACCTCTGATTTTAGAGATGGGAAATGGAGGCTCATTGAGGAGCTGTTTCCTAACCAAGATCATGGAGAGGCACAGTTGGCAGGGTCATGGCCCCTAACCCAAGGCTCTTCCCACTCTTCCTTAAGACATCTGAGTTTTTCTGGAATGAAGTCCAGTAGCAACCATGACTAAATACATTCATAAATTCAACATGTATTAAGGCATGATTTTTGTCACCAACAATTACTATGTCAACCACTGTTCTAAGTGCTATGGAGGACTCAAACAGAACTAAGAAACTTCTTCTGAAACTTAATAAAGTAGCATATGAAACGGTGGCTGCATTTCATGCCTTACCTAAAAACATCATTCATTCATTCAGCACATACTTATGAGCACGTCTTACATGTTGGCCGTTGACCATGCAATGGTAAAAAGGTGGAAGCCATCCCTGCCTACACATAGCTTACCTTTGCAGGTAGTTAAACAAGCAATAGCAGAGAACAGGAATAGTAAGTGTCACGATAGCAAAATAATAGGGCCCTTTGGGCAGGGGGTCATAGAAACCTGGTCTAGGTGACCCAGTGAGGGCCTCCCAGGGGCTGACCTCTGAGACCTAAAGGGTGAGGAAGGTCAGGCAAGTGGAGAGAGAGGAGGATTGGAGGGCTTGGGGCAGAGCGACTCCCTGGGAAGTACGCAGAGGAGATAATGTTACATTAGAGCAGGGCTTTTCCTCACAAATCACGATCATTTGCCTGCCACACTTATGATCATGATCATTTGCCTGCCGCACTTATGATCATGATTGTTTCCCTGCCACATTTTTGTCATAGGCTCTTCCTTAGATTCACTTCTTATTGAAAATATATTTGAAATGAAAGCACTGTTTCATTTTGTAAATGGAAGAGTAGCACCGTCTAACCTCAGTAGAAAATTAAACCTAAACATTCATGCAGTGGGAAAAAAAATTAACAGTGTTGTTCCACCCTGGAGGCACCCAAGGCTCTCCCTTTAAAAAGGGAGATTGGTGAGTGTTAGAGCAATACTAAAGACACAGTGCTAAACCAAGATTTTTTTTTTTTTTAAGTAATCTGGAGGAAGGAAAGGGAATGAACAAGGGAAGCTAGTTGCCTTTCCCAGTGTGATTCACTGTCCTTTAATACCGGGTCTATGATCATCGTGAGCACCACCTCAAATCCCACCCCCCAGTCCTGGGGGAACTCCTTTTACACTTTGGTAAACACTGTGTGTGTAGGAACTGAAAGAATTTCCAAGTAGTTGGAGCAAAGTGTGTGACAGCAGGAGTGGTTAAAGATAAGAGGGGGAGGTCAGCAGGGGCCAGCCCTGAATGCCAGCTAAGTAGGGTTAAAGAGTTTGGATTATCTCCCTGGGGTAATGGGAAGCTTTTCAAGTGTTTTTCACTGGGAGGGGGGGTGATATTATTAGATTGTCAAGGGAGAAAGATCCCTCTGACTACAGTTGGAAGCATGGACTAGAGAGGCCCAGACTGGAGGGAGGCAGTGAGGCCCTGGAGGCTGTTGTGATAATAGCCGGGGAGAGACAGAGTGGTGCTCCAGGCCAGGAAAGCATCCGTGGCGTTAGAGAGAATTGCAAGATTTCCTGGAATACTTAATGGGTAGCGCATTGTGCTTTCAAACGCTTTAGACTTGCCCTGTAAGCTGGACAAAGTAGGGTATCCTCCCCATTTCAAAGATGATAAAGAACTGGAGGGCCCATGGGGTTAAATGAGCTGCCCAGAGTGGCACAATTGTTTATGGAGTCTGGTTCTGCCCTGAGCTCTCGCCGTAAGTCCTCACCATGATTGCAGTAACCTTCCAAATATGTGAGGCCCTAAAGGGAAGAGATGAGAGCTTGGTCCAGGGATAAAAGGGATCTTTCCCTGGGTAGGGCCTTATCTGTTCTGTTGGGCCCTGGACTATAACTTTCTCCCTTTCACAAGAAAGGAAGGTTCTTTAGATAAAAGCTGAAATAGGACAGATGGGCAGGCCCAGGTGAAAGCAGCTGATCTTATGGGATGAGCTCTGGTAGGATTCTCTTGGTCTATAATCACCAAGCCTCCAGATCTGTGATCACTTATCCTCATAAAATTTAGTGACAAAAAGGTCGTCTCTTACTTCTGCCTAATAAATATATCAAGCCAATGTCCACCAGAGCCTGGTTCCCATGGCAGCCACAGGTTACTTCAAACAGCTGCCCAGAGAAGACCTGCTGACACTCAGCTGTCCCAGCCATACGGTTCCTATTAGGAGATTTGAAAAACTGAGCTCATATGTGGCCAGGGACCAGAACTTGCTCCAGTCTGAACATCCTTGACCACTCTTGGGCCTCTCAGTTCTCTGTTACATTTGACTAAAATGATAAAGTAAGGAGAAGAGAGTAAGTACTTTAAGAGGTTTTGTTTAAGTGGGATTGATCTCTTGAGACTAAGAATGGTGTGGTTATGACCCAAGCCCCCCATGATGCTCTTGTGACATAGAATTCCCTTTATCAACCCTGCCTAGAGAATTGCTAGATTTTGAAAGCCGAGGACTGAGAATTTCCTCCCTTCAAGTCAATTCACCCTTATTAATCCATTCTCCTTGCACAGTCAGGATCTGGACCCCTGGCGAGCTGTGCACTGTCTAAGTATGAGGTGGGAAATACTGGTTGAGCACCTATGAGGGCCCACTCACTTATGTCTCATTTCATTTCCTGATCAGTCCATTTTGAAGTTTAAGCAAGAGAAAATCAATGGCGTTAAGTAAATTGTTCAAGGTTACACAGCTGGTAAATGGCAGAGCCCAAATGCAAAACATTGTCTTCCGATATCAAACCAGGGTCCCATCCATTATAACACATTGCATCCTATGACTTGTGCACAAATAAGGGAAAATGGGGCTCAATAGAGAAATAAACAAAACACTTCAGCAACAAAGGGAAAGCATGATTGATGGTAGCTGGGACGCTTTGAAGACCTTTATCTTAGCATGACGTTGACTCATGAGTAGATCTCAGTGAGTGTGGTTCTCTCGTCTTAGGAATGGAATTCTTTGGCAGTTGTGTCACACCATGTTCTGTTGTGAAGTGCTTGTCAGATGCTCAGCAGATGACATTTTTCTATGAATCAAACCCCTGATTCACTTTGTATTTCAAACAAACAAAAATTGACTCCAACTTTGACTCTGCTATGGTCTACATGTTTGTGTCTTCCCCCAAATTTGTATGTTGAAACCCAATCCTCAATGTGAGGGTGGTAGGAGGTGGGGCCGTTAGGAAGTGATTAGATCAGTAGGGCAAATCCCTCATGAATGGGGTTAGTGCTCTTATAAAAGGGACCTCAGAGAGAGCCTTTGCCCCTTTCACCTTGTGAGGACATAGTGAGAAAGTGCCATTAAAGTACCAAGAAACAGGTCCTCACCAACCACCACACCATACCATCATCTGGTGCAATGATCTCCTGGATTTCCAGCCTCCAATACTAAGAAAAAAGTTCCTGTCATTTATAAGCTACCCGATCTGGGGTGTTTTGTTATAGCAGCCCAAATAGACTAACACAGACTCCTTTTTAAAATCCATTTGATTTGATCATTTCCAGTGAAGGGGGACCCCCTGGAGATATTGAAGGACTCATTATATATTTAGAGGACTCCTGTTTTAAGTTGTTTTTTTTTTAATTACATTGAGTCAAAATTTGCCTTCTGTCAATTTTCAAGTGGCTTAATGAGTAAAACTCAGGTGCCTTGCAGCAGAGATCTGCGACCCTTTTTTCTCAGCCTGTTAATCCTGGTCAAATCACATAACCAGCCTGAGGCTCACTTTTACCATCTGAGGCCTGGGAATAAAGTACACACTTTAGAACTGTGGTGAGAGTTATATTAAAGATGATGCATAGGTTCCTGGCACATAGTAGGTACCCAGTCAGTTAGAGTCATTATCATCCCTGACTCCAATTTTCCCCACCACTTGTCTTCAGTTCCTAGAACAACACAACCACTTGCCAACATCCCCCCTTCAGTGGACACATTCACTCCTGTTTTCAGCATTCTTCAGAAGACTTGTTTTTGAGACAACCGTCATCATCATGACCTGGCTACAATTTGCATATGTCCCTCTTACCAGAAGTGACTGGGGTTTTCCAGATGTGTCCTGACCAGGGCGGCATGAATGACATCATTACTTCCCTTGATCTGCCCTCTCCACTTCTAGAAGTTGCATTCCAAGGTTTTGCAGCCATGTCATGCCCTCCACTCTCATTAAGCTTTAGGTCAGCTAACCCAGAGCCATTTGAGCTCAACTCAAAGAGACGGGGAGGAGGGAGCGAGGCCATCGGGAATGCTTCCTTACTGCCTCCTCTCTTCCCCTCCATTCCAAGGCCCCCTTAGAAATTAGGTCTCTGTCTGATAACTGTGTCAGCAGCTGATTGGGTCATAGTGCCGGGAATGGGATAGTTGGTCAAAGGTTCTACAATTCCCGGAGAAGTGGCTTTTGATCCCAGCCCCTGCCTCTTTCACAAGCCATCCCTGTCTCAATCTCACTGCTGATAGAACCAATAAATTATTATGTGGTGGCCTTCCTTCACCTCTTGCTTCCTGTCCCAGTGGGCTTGAGTCCAGTCTGCAATGCGGAAGATTTCATTTCGGTATTTGAGAAAAATGGTCACTCTGCCCTACTATCTGTCCCTCCAGGGAAAGCTTGGTGCATGCCGGGCCTTTGATTTATGGATTTCTATTACTTACAATTTATTACCCAGCACTCTTGCCTTTGGCTCCTCTCTCCCCTTCCTCTGGTCCATCATTTGAACACCTCCAACCCTTCTCTCCATGGCTTCACTCTCCGAAGTCTTCTGTCTTTGTGATCTAAATGCAAACCAACATGCCAAGGCGTGTATGGTGGAGAAAGAGCAGGGACAATTAAGCAAAATGGCATTGGTGGAGTGCCTACTATGTACAGATCCGCAACTTGGGTGCCTATGGCAGTCATTTCATTGCAGCCTAACAGCATCCCCACAAGATAAGCACCTTGATTCCATTTTACAAGTGAGGAAACAGGCTCACAGAAGAGAAATGTCTTGCCCTAATGTGCCTTGACACCTATGTGCTTTCTGTTATAAAATGCTACTCTGAACCTTGGCTAACATTTAGTGAGAGCTAAGCAAATTGCCCAGGTACTCCTCCAAGCACTCTTATATTTTCATTTTACTGACGTGGAACTAAGAGTTGGTGGCATTGAAGAACTTGCTCATGATCCATATAACTAAGTTGTAGAGCTAAGATTTGAGTCTGGGGCTTCAGAGCCAAATATTTCACCTCAGCTCTACATGGCCAGGAGCCTTGCTTCTAGCTTATTCTTGGTTACTAACGTAAGTCATTCGTTAAGGCAAATAATTTTCTCACTCCAAACCTTAGTTTCCCCACCCATTCAAAAGGAGGCTTGGTCCAGTTGAGCCCCAACACTCTCTTGGAGGGACTGGCTGAGCCAATGAAGACAAAGCAATGGGGTATGTTGGAGGAATTTCACTTTCCAACCTAATTCTGTATTTGTGGCTTATTTTTGTGACTGTCTGGATCGGACAGTGACTCTCCACTGCCCCACAAATAAAATACTTCACCGTGGCTTAGCAGAGTCTGGATGGTCTGATCTCTGCCAAGCTAACTGGTCTGTTACCCGTTCTGTGCAATGACCGTTACATACAATTGGTGGTTTTATGCTGTCTCCAGTCTAACTTTGGAGGATATCCCCTCTGCCTCTCTGTCTGCCTGAAAAGTAATTGTTTAATCATAGAAGACCTAGCTTAGATGTTACATCCTCTAGGTAGGCTTCTCTGAGCCCCCAAACTGATGATTAGGTGTCCACTTGATATATCCCCATAGCACCTGGCATGCTTTCCAACCCAGCACTCTGCCCTTATATTAGAGGCTGCTACTGTTTTTGTCTGTCTCCTGCCACTGACTTATAAAGATGCTCAAGGCTTAAACCAGTACACAAATAATCATGATGGCCGTGGCGGAGGTGGTGACGATGGTGGTGATACTTTCTAACACCTATGAGGGGCTGACTGTGTGCCACTTTCCTAAGAGTTTTACAAATATTAACTAATTTCAGCATCACTGTAACTCTATGAGGCAGGCAAATGTTATTCCCTTTTTATAAATGAGGAAACAGTAAGTCTCTTTTAAAAGTACAGAGAACAAAAGCAAACCAGCACCCCTAAGAACAGTGACACCTGGATGTGTTCTTTATCTTGTTTCTTGCTACCAGTCTTGCCCTCCCCTAATTCAGTTCTCTGCGAGGCAGCTAGAAATGTTTTTAAACACGGAGGCTCTGAATCTGTCACCTTGTGCCTGAAACCCTTCGGTAACTTCAGTAACTCCCTACTTACCCTGTGACAAAAATCATAGGTAACATTTATGGACAGCTTATTATAGAGAGATTAGTGCTTTTGTGTACTTTGGAAATCACCCTTTATGGTGGATACACTTATTCCCATTGCATGGGTAAGAGAACTGAGGCAGAACTGGTTAAATAATTCTGTCAGTATCATGGAACTAGTAGGTGGCTGAGCTGGGACTGGAACCCAAGCCGTCAAGCTCTAGAGCCTGCATGAGTCACAGTGCTAGATACAACCGGTTTCTAAGTTTCAATGGCCTGGCCCCTGCCACTTCCCCAGTTTCCCACTGTGTCCCCACTAGCACACTGGATTCCAGCCACAAGTTCCCAGAACACCCATGGAACCCCTTACCCCCGTGCCTTTGCCTCTCCTCCTGTTATGTCCTGCCCTCTTCAGTACCTGACCTGTCCTCATTTATGAGGCTCAACCCAAGTTGCCCCCCATCAAAGACGGCCTCTTGGATATCCCCGATCCCACCTCGGCACCTTCCCCTGCCTTCCCACGGTCCTGCGCCCCCTTGTACCCTTGCTCTTGCCACCTGTGCTGTAACTTTTAATTTGTCTGTCTTTCCCTCTGGATGGGGAGCTCAGCCATATAGTAAACGCTCAATAAATGAGCAACTGATGACTGAATCCTCTTTGACTTCACAACAGCCCTATTCTGCAAACGAAAAAACAGCCTTAGAGACCATAAGTAAGTTTCCCAAGGACACGGAGCTATTAAGGAGCAGAGCAAGGACTCCAGTGGGGAGGGTGGGAGGGAAATAAGCTCCCCAGGCTGCTCTCGGGGGGGCGCCTGCCAGAAGGGAGCGAGGACTGTGGGTAGTGCGGCCACTCGAGTGAGATTATGAAGCTATGAATTCTTGGCACCTCAGGAAATATTCCACCCAAGTGGTGAACTATACAAAGGGGACTTTTTGAAAGGCACCTCGTAAATTGTGCCCACAAAACATACACACATAAGCCGGCCCTTTTCCAGCCGCCACGCAGGTGCCTAACACAGTCTCCCATTTGTGGGGTCTGTTGTCATAAAACGTCCTGCCTCCCGGGGTCTCGCAGGGGCATGGAGAGGACAGCAGGAGAGCCTGTTATTTAGCCCCTCAGAGTTCCTGGGTATCTAGAAGGTGATGGGACATAAAGCAAAGCGGATTCCGCACATGGAGACAGGCCCGTGGACAGTGACGCTGACCTGTGGTTGCTAGGACCCAGGAAAGGACATTCCTTTCCCTCCCTCAGCCTGTTTCCACATCTTTCGTGAGAGCAGGTCAGACTGGGTCATTGGTTCCCAACTGGAAGTGCTCTTGGCATCTGGTGGGCAGAGGCCCAGGGACGCTGCTGGACTTTCTACAGGACAGCCTCCACCACAAAGAATGATCTGGCCCAAATGCGATATCCTTGCCTTTGAGAGCCCCAGACTAGGTCACCTCAGAGATCCTTGGTGGCTTTCATCTTCTGTGCAGTCTTATCTCCTCGGGGTCCTCTCCCTGGTACTAGGTAAAGGGCTCCAGGTAAATTACTAAGAATGCTCACCACGGCACAGAGGGATTCTTGCTCAGACCACTGTTTGTATGACCTTGATCCTGAGACATCGTTGTAACAATTCTCTATAACAGTAGCTGTCATTTATTGGTCGCTTACTCTGTGTCAGGCTTTAGGCCTTTCTCAGAGCTAATCTCACAATCAGTTTAGGAAAGCAGGCCCCCCATCACTGTGTTAGATGTGAGAAAAATGAGATGCAGAGAGGCTCTGATTTGGGGACATATGTACTAAGCTGTGACATACGATTCCAAATTTCCTGACTGTGAAGAGAGTGTAAGGGAATTAGAGAAGCGTGAGAGCAGATAGAGAGGGACTTGTGGGTTTTCATGGCCTAGATCCAAATGTCCAGCTCCCAGGTCAACTTGATGTCTGACCTTGGTCAAGTAATGTCACTTCTCTGAGCCTTGGGCTTCACCCTTAAGTGTGAAAAGAGCAATATATTCAGGGCTGTTGTACAGATTAAATAAAAATTTTAAATGTAAATAAAGTACCCAACTTCTCACACATGGTGTCAATAAATTTTAGTTATTACTGTTGTTGATTATCCCTATTATAATCATTTCTACTGGGCCAGAGTCCCAGAGCTGATGACCTCATCCCTCCTAGGACTCTCCTATCTCAGTAGTGAAAATGCTGAGTCCAAGGTTATCCCTCTTTCTCACTTTTTAGACACTGCACAGTTGGAGAGGGGAGGGATACTGTGATGCTTGAATGGGTGTTTGAAATACCACACTCACGTCAGGAATGGACGGGAAATGGCTGGGACAAGCCCCCTTTGCCCTGTCGACCTTGATTCAGCCCCCAGAGGCTCGCCCCCGCCTGGGCTCGCGCCTTCCTCACTGTCCCCTCCTGCCTTGCAGGAAGGCGCACCTGATCCTGCGGCGGCTGGAGAGGGTGAGCAGCCACTGCGCCGGCCTCCTGCGCAGCGCCTACATCCAGAGCCGCGTGGACACCGTGCCCTACCTGTTCTGCCGCAGCGAGGAGGTCCGGCCCGCGGGGATGGTGTGGTACAGCATCCTCAAGGACACCAAGGTCACGTGCGAGGAGAAGATGGTGTCCATGGCCCGAAACACGTATGGGGAGTCCAAGGGCCGGTGAGGGAGGGCGCCACCCTCCGTGAGCACAGAGACTCTCCGTGGGAGGGGGAGCAGCACTCGCGTGGATCCCGGGGCCTGGGTGGGCTGGGGGACAGCTGAGGATGGGCTTGGCAGGCGAGGCTTGCCAGCAAGGCCAAAGCAAACTCTCTCTCCCGTGGATAGCCGCCAGAGAACTTTGTAACCACTGGAATTATCCATTTTTGCCTATCTTTTATTTTTTCTAAGATATTATTTGACTCTATCGAAGTCTCCCCTTTTTAAACTTTTTCTTATGGACGGTGGTCAGTTGGGAGGCAGGAGCTTTCAGGTGGAGACCCAGCGGCCTTTCTTCTTCCTTCCCACGGCCACGCTCAGCTTCCTTGCAGCCCTGGAGCCCTGGAGGAGACCGGTGGAGAGACAGCCGGGCCTCTTCCGCGTCAGCAAGGGGCCCGGAGGACTGTTGCAGTGAGGAAGCTCGGGTCTTTAGGGCTTTTTTCCCCAGATGTCATTGAGTTTGCAGGACCTCTGCCTCTTCCTGCCGCCTGTGGGTCTGCCCAGAGCCCCTGCAGGACTGTCCATGCATTAAAAGTTCCTCTTGTCTCTCTTTCTGCTTGGGTGGTGTTTCTTACCAACGGGGGACCTCTGCTTATTCACTCAACAAATATGTATTGATTATCTATTATATGCCAGGCACGGGGCATGGGCTGGAAGACAGAGGAGCGCCCTGCTCTTGGGGAACTTACCTTCCAGTGGCAGTAGAGAAGCAATCTGGTGATTTTGGGCTGTGGTGGGGGAAGAGTAGAGGTTCTTTGAACTCATTGTTGGGTCATTAGACAAACTGGACACAGATAAAATGCTCTTTTGAAAACGTGACACCTGTGCTCAAAGGAGCAGAGATAAATAAGCAGAGTGAGGAAAAATGGGATTTGCCCCCGTCAGATGGGACACCATGAGCAAAAGCCCAGATGTCAGAGAAAACAGAACTCATCCCAGGGCCGAAAGCACTTTCATTGAGAAGAGAGATTAAGTAGGAAGTAGCAAGGGGTAAGGCTGGGAGCTGGACAGCCCCTGGGAAGCCTTGAACCAAAAGTGTGACAGTATTTGAAGTAACTTGAGAGTCCCCGCAGGACGTTCACAGAAGAGTGCAATGGCCAACTCGCTCTTTATGAAAAAGAAACATTCCAGCTACCTTCCAGGTGGAGGTTGGACCGGTGAAAGCACCAAAAAGGGTGACTCTTATCATTTTCCAGGCAAGAAGTGATGGCAGTTTGGACCTTGTGGTCATGAAGGAGACCATCTACCTTTGAAACCTTTCACATGGCACGTGAATTGCTTCCAGTGTGTTACCTGGGAGGGTCATGAGTGCAAAGGGGCATTGTAGTCTCCTAACACCTTGACAGTAGCTCAGAGAAGCTGGCTGACTAGGGGAAGTGGGATGCAGGTCAGGTAGTTCATAAAGCAAGGATGACACTTGTTAAAGAGAAGAGAGTCGGGCACTGTGGGGATTCAGGGAGAAAAGGGTGGTGAACATCAGTAAGATACAAGCAGTTAAAAATATGCCTACTTCTCAATACTTATGAGTGCCGATGAGATCAACAGTCCCCTTCCTGAAAACCTACATGCTGAGGTTATTTCCACCCCCAGCCCCCAGGACTTTAATCCACATGGGTTAACAAAGCAGAAGGAGATTCTTCCAAATGACTCTGGTACCTAGAGATCTGCTCAGTGTCCAAAAACTAAGCTCAAAGGTGCTCTTTTAAGAAGTATGATTATTGGATTTACGTTTCTAGAAGTATAAGGTGGAGTTAAGCTGAATAAATTCTCCCTACAGTGTTGATGACTCTTTTCCCAGGAACGGTATATTCAGAGAGGATCCAAGATCTTACAAAAAAAGTAATAGTTACCATTCATTGAGTACTTGCCCTTCTTTGTCAATTGCATGTTTTAGTCAATTATGGTATAAAAGAATACCATAGACTGGGCGACGTATAAACAACACAATTTTGTTTCTCACAGTTCTGGAGGTTGGGAGGTTCAAGATTGTCAACAGACTTGGTGTCTGGTGAGAGCTCTCTTCTTAGTTCATAGGTGACAGTCTTTTCCCTGTATCCTCACATGGTGGAAGGGAAGAGGGAGCTCTCTGAGGTTTCCTTTGTAAGGGCACTAATCCCATTCACGAGGGCTCCATCCTCATGACCTAATTACCTCCCAAAGTCCCCACCTCCAAATACCATCCCATTGGGGATTAGGTTTTAAAATGTAAATTTTGGGGGGACGCAAACATTCAGTCTATAGCATTACCACATGCCAAGCCCTGTTCTAAATTCCTCTCATATATACCCTTTTTTGAACCCTAGGTCCCAGGCCTTTGCCGAGTCTCCTCATTGCTGTAGCTTTCCATTGTCTTGACCCAACCTGAAGAAAAATTTAGCTCATCAGTTGCAGTAAGTTAAACTTCCCAATGTGCTGGGGCTGTGGTCTGAACCTGACTAAGTCTGAATCTGACTGCTGCCATTCACCAGCTATTACTTTGGGTGAGTAATTTGACATCTGAACCTCAATTTCATTATCAACAAAATGAGATCAATGATAGTCCCACCTGATGGTGGTGTTGTGAGGCCTGAGTGAGAGAGTAACTCTAATGCATCCAACATAATATATAGTAACTTTTCCTTTCTCCTGATAGAGACAATATGTGTAATGCTATGAATCTTAGGAAGATGACTAGGAAACTTTGGCTGGGAAAGGTCTACAGAAGTCCGATTAAGAAATGGAATTAATAACTAACAGCCTGTGAGATATATGAATTGTAAATAGTATTAAAAAATTAACTCAGAGAGAAGTGGCCTTGATGGTGGAACTCAGTGCAATAGCAAGAACCCCAAGAAGTATGTGGTTGCTTTGAGCCTCTTGCAGACAGCTGTGGCCTCTGGAGAGCCACACAGTTGGCCGAAGACAGCTGACCCCTGAGGATACGTGCAATCAGGCTGTCCCCAACTCGTTCCTCTGTCCACGCCCCTCTTTGGTTTCAATCTCCATTTCCTGGCACCATGGAGCCTATTGCCCTTCCCAGCCACCATAAAGCTCTCCAGAGTGAAATTCCAGGAGCCTGAATAGATGTGTGTGTGTGTGTGTGTGTGTGCGCGTGCCCTGCCATGACAGGAAAGGAGGCTAGACCAATATTTGTTATGATGTTTCATTGGCTGGCCAGTGTGGCTCAAGTGGTCGTAGTGTCATTTCATACATCGAAAGGTCGCGGGTTCGATTCCCAGTCAGGGCACATATCCAGGTTGCCGGTTCTATCCTTGGTTGGGGGGTGTACAGGAGGCAACCAATCGATGTTTCTCTCTCACATTGGTGTTTCTCTCTCTCCCTTCCTCTCTCTAAAATCAATAATAACATATCCTCGGGTGAGGATTAAAATAATAATAAAGATGTTTCATTGGATAAAGAGAAAGAAAAATTCTTGAAGTGCAAATGAGGCTGCTGAGTTCAGCACCCACCCTGGCTTCTGCCGGGCCACACTGATTCATGTGGTGCCTCTGAAAATGCCAGGGACGCTCCTGTACCACTGTGCTGGCAAACATGGGACTTTCCGTGTGGTCTCCACCACTGAATAAAGAAGTTGTGAACACACAGAGGTGTGGGGGGGGAGTGCACAGGAAACCGCTCCTAGATGACTCCCATCTTCTGCATGATCAAAAAGCGTCTCTTTGGGTAGGCCATATGATGAAGAGTGAACTGCATAGAAAACGCGGCTAACTACCATTTATGGTGTCCTTGCCATATCAGTGATTCTACATGCGCATCTCATTTAACCATGTACAAAACAATCAAGTGCTATTATGATGACCAATTTACAATGACAGAAACTGAGGTTTACGCAGGTTGAATAACCTGCTTAAATCCTGTAGCTAGTAAGTGATGACATTGAGATACCGAGACCTAAGCTTGGGCAGACCAAGAGTTCAAACTGGTGAGCACTGTGCTTGCTGCCTCCTCAGGCTATTGCGTGTAATGCCCTCTTCTTTATCTTAAGTCCAAAGCTAAGTCTCTCTAACTTCCAACCTGTGCTAATTTCTAGGGTTAGGGTACTGAGATGAACAGGACCCAGACCCTTCCCTTAGCGAACTCCCAGAACTTAGCTAACTAAATACAGTGTGATAAAATCAGACACTTTGGAGTCATGCCAATCTGGGTTTAAATATTAGCTGTGCAATTTACAGAGAGGAGGGGCTGGACCCTGAGCGATTTGTATAAGGCAAGCCCAACAGGTCTTGCTAATTGGGGGCTCAGGTTAGCTGACACTAACTTAACCTCTGATAGCCTCACTTTCTTCACCTATAAAGGGGATAAATACACTACCTCAAGGGACCGTTAGAAAGATTAAATTACATAATTGTATAAATTTAATGTATATATAAAGTCAATGGATGCTTGAAAACAAAAGCTCTTAATCAATAGTTATTACAATGGCTTATTTACACGAGAAAGGATGGGTGTGACTAACGCTGCCATTGGAAGGCAGGCATCAGGAAAGTCCTCACACTCAAAGGATGTATGAGAGCTCAGTAAGGAGAGCAGGAGGGAGAAGGCATTGTGAGTAGAGAGACCAACATATCAGTTTGAGGGATGTTGAGAACCTGGTGTGGGCTGAGAGAAGGAGGCTGTGTTTAGAGAGGTTGGCAGAGCCAGGCCTCGCTGGCCATTGGAAAGCATTGACTTGAACACAAAAATGTTACCTGGGCAGATAAGTACTTTAAAGAGATTCCTCTGGCTGCAGGTAGGAGAGTGGAGAGAAGGGAGAGAGTCAGCAGCATGGAGACTGGATAGGATAGGATAGGATAGGATAGGATAGGATAGGATAGGATAGGATTAGGATTAGGATTAGGATAGCATATCATAGGATGGGTTGGGATGGGATGGGATAATGGATAGGGTAGGATAGGATAGGATAGGATAGGATAGGATAGGATAGGATAGGATAGGATAAAAGACTAGATGAGTATTGTTTACGAGAGAGATGATATCTGAGCCAGAGCCATAGCAGTGGTGAGGCTGGATCTGAGTGGTATTAAAGGGGATGTCAGAAAGACTTGCTAACTTCCCCTTTCCCTCTGATGTCTGAATTAGACTGGGCAGAACCAGTTGAGGCATGAAGTGGATGACAAATCACATAGGCTCAATGGACAGTGCATGGATGAGGCATGATTGACATCATGCAGGTACAGTAATTGGAACATATTAGAGCCAAAAATATCATTTAACTTTATGTGGAAACCATGCATGGGCCTGTGTGTAACTAGGCACAAATATGTTATGACTTCCAAATGCAGGTGTGTGAATCATAGTGAGGGGCTGTGTAAAACCAGTGTAAAGTCTTCTGGAAGAGTGAGTTGCCAGACTTATGGAAAGAGTGCTGGATTCTTCATCATCATCATCTTCTCCCCCTCTCCTCCCTTCCCCTCCCCTCTCTCCATCATCACCATCATCACCATCATCATCATCACCATCAACATTATCACCATCAACATTATCACCATCATCATCACCATCACCACCATCATTATCACCATCAACATCATCACCATCAACACCATCACCATCATCATCATCACCATCACCATCATCATCACCATCAACATTATCACCATCACCATCAACATTATCACCATCATCATCATCACCATCACCACCATCATTATCACCATCAACATTATCACCATTATCATCATCACCATCACCACCATCATTATCACCATCAACATCATCACTATCATCACCATTAACACTATCACCATCATCATCATCACCATCATCACCATCACCATCATCACCATCACCATCAACATTATCACCATCATCATCATCACCATCATCACCATCATCATCACCATCACCATCATCACCATCATCACTATCACCATCATCACCATCATCATCATCACCATCACTGTCTTCATCCTCATTACCATTATCATTTAACTGATTGATTGCTTACCACACACCAGATTTTTTACATATGTAATGTTTTATGTACTCCTCAAAACAACTGTGTTATATATAAATTTCCATTCCCATTTTAGAGTTGAGGGAATTGAAACTTCCTGGTCTCAGGCAGCTAAGTGAGTGACAGAACCAGAATTTCAACCCAGGTGTCATCTGAGCCCAGAATTTTAACTACTCTTCTCTGTTGCCTGCTGAGGTGGGGAGCTCTGGGTTCTAGCCTGGCCTCTGTAGCAGAGTGGCTGGATGACCTTGAGCAGGCCATTTACCCTCTGTGGGCCTTGGGTTCTCCATATGCCCCCACTATACTGGGGAAGATGTGTACCATGGATATGAGGGATTATATTCCAGGATGACTCATGTACAGGGAACATTTTTCACCTCTCCCTTTTATCTTCACCACCTCCCTTTGAAGTTGACAGAGGCAGAATAGATGGCTCCATTTGGCCAGTCTAGAGAAGGTTAAGGTCCTAGCAAGGCTGGAGCAGAGCCTGGATCCCCAGCCAACTTTACTGCCTTAGAGACAACCCCAGTCTCACACTCATGGTCATACATGCCACTGGTTGCTAAAGGTCCAACAGCTTTGGACAAGTGACCTCTCCATGTGTTGGTTTTCTCTTCTCCCAATTGGGGGAACTAGTAGCACTCCTCAAAGGTTTTAGTGAAAATTAAATGGGTCAGTGTGTCAGATACTTAGAACAGTACGTGGCATGTAACGAGTAAGTGTTAGTTGCTGTCATTCTTGTACTAAACACCCCACTCAGTGGTCACACTGAAAAGTCTCAAAAAATGCCCTTCCACACCCTCCCTCTCAGCCTTTGCATGTGCTGTTCTCTCTGCTGGGAATGCCCTTCCAACTTGGGCAGACTCAGCTGAAATGTTCTCTACTGGCTCCCTGAGACCTTTTGTCTCTCCCAGAAGAAGTTGGTAACTCTCTCCTCTGGAGTCTTAGAGTGGGGACTCCTTGCCTCATTCCAGCATTTTTCTCAGTCATATAATTGTCCCCTATAGGACTAAGGACATGGACTGCGGAAGATTCTCTCTGTACGTGGAACCTTTCATTGGACTTAGCGCATAATAAAATTAAGTCATCCAGTAAAATTGAGCTTGATGCGCAGATGGAAGGAACCCTGAGGGAGGATCCCAGGGAAGCACATGAAGGCCTAGGATCCCTTGAGAAGAGTGGCCCTTCCCATTTGCACCATCAGTGCAGCACAGCAGGGGTGTGGAGAGAAGACCGCAGCCAAACAAAACCCACGGGCTTTGTGTAGGGCTGTACCCACGGGCTTTGTGTGAGGTATGCTTTTTAATGGGCCTCTGCTGGTAAAACTGCCAGACCCTGAATGGCATGCACTGTCTCCCTTTGGAAACTTTGCTGCATGTGTTTGTACATGTTACAGCTGAAGCCAAGCTGCTCTGTTTTCCTGTTTTACAGGAGTTGGCATTAGAAGAGGGCAAGGGGCCACAAGTGTGCTCTAATGGACAAACAGGCGTGTGTGTGTGTGTGTGTGTGTGTGTGTGTGTGTGTGTGTTAGAGAAAGAAAGACAGACAGAAACAAAGACAGAGATGAAGAAGCTCTGGAGGAAGTTGTTAGTTATGGCATCAGTGAGCGCCGCCAGCGGGAAGTGAAGAATTCAGATTCTGGACCCAGCTCTGACACTGACAGGCTCTGGGACCCTGGGCCAGTTTCTCTCTAGTGTTGCCCTCAGTGTCTTTTCATAGGCAGATTGGTTGTGCTAGAGCTTCACTGACGAACCCTTCAGCTCTGATATTCCTGACTTCTCAAGCCCTCAAGGCCCACAACCGGAAGCAAAGGAAGTAAACAATTCTATATATTTGTAGAGGACATTGAGATTCACAAAGCAAACTCCCAGAAGAGAATTGTTACTTATTGCAGGAAAGCTTCTCCGACCATACCCCTCAAATTTAAGATAGGGGCTTCTGCTCTTGGTTCTCACAGTCCCCATACTTCTGTGATATTTCTACTTAGCCCATTGCGTTCTCATTGACTCTTTACGTGTTTCTTTTCCCCAAAATGTAAACTCCTGGGTTGGGTCATCTTTAAAGTCTGCCCAAAACAGGTCAACACATATCGTAGATGGTCAGAAAATGTGTCCTGATGTGGTTCTACATCGTTTCAAGACCATTTCTACTGGAGTCTTCAAGGACAGGGCTCATGATCTATGCTCTGTGGACAAGGAAACTGAAGCTGGATTTGTGTTC